TCACTTTGTTCACACCTGGTGAGAGAAAGTGACAGGATATCCGGGAAACAGGCAGGTAGTGACAGGAAACTAACTTTTACCAGGTTAAGTAGCACTAACTACCTCTGCTTTAACTGAGCTAAGCTAGGCTATATCCGCTTTTCTTTATTGACTTTCATCATGCATCACTGTGCCCACCCGCGGTGCTCATCACTTCTCACCGGCGTGTGTGGAACTCAAGCCCCGGGCCTCGCACCGAAGAATAGCTGTCGTTAAATATTCATTCGCCCCGTTTCCCGGTGCCTCTCTCCCCTCCCTGCGCCGACCGACCCCCGCTGCTCCGAGCCCGGCCACAGCAGCGGCCGGGGCGCGGGGCTGTAGATTGAGGAAATGTAAACGGGGGCTTGTGCATCAGTTTGGGGGCTTTTTCTTTCTCTTGTGCTCGAGAAGATGATGGGGAAACCCGACCACAGAGCTCCAGTGAAAGGCTGGGTGTGCCGGAGGACAGGTAGGTGGATCCACCCATCCTTCCTTCCTCCCTCCTCTTTGCGCCCACACATCATCCCGCAGACTGCTCAGTTAACTTGTCTCCTGCAAGATTAACACCTCGTGGATTTTAAATGTGTCATATATCTCATATGAGTTATGAGACTGCGATGAATCGTGCAAAGCAACGTATAATGGTTGGGAAATATAAAACCTAACTGGGTAATGTGGTTGAGTAACATCAACACCAGCTGCAGGCCTGTAAACTTCACCGTCTCCAAACTGTTAAAAGGTGTAACACTGCCCTACTAGAAAGCAATAGATTACTGACCGCGTGCACGTACATGTGTGTGTGCGTGTGTCTGACGTCAAAAGATGGTCCACCGCTCTGCTCCAGGTCTTGAATTGCATTTGATGAGCCTCATTAAGTCCACCTCTGTCATAAGTCTGCTTTTCTCTCCGGGGCATGTGTCTCTATGTTGTCTCTTCTCGACAAATTCTATCAAAAGATGGAGGACCACCTGCCAACAGCGATTTCTTTGGGAAGAGGGAGATTCTGGCTGCCGCTCAAGAGTTTTTCACATTTGATAGGGTCTTTTCATTCTGCTTCAAAGAAAGATGTACGGGTAGAGACAAACCACGGGAAATTCAGGAAAAATTACTCTTTCACGTGCACCCACTCAAAGACATAACTCTGAATGAGCACACACACACACACACACACACACACGCACATGCGCTTTGCTGGTTGGTAATGATCAGATACACTTACACACCAAGACCAAAAGATCAGGATCTGGCAACCCAACACCTACACCCTGTAACATGACAGATCTGGCAATCCGACCCCTTCTCTCTGGGAAGAGGAATAATTTGGTTGATGGCACTTATAATCACAGCCCTGTTACCGATCCTTCACTTTGTGTGTGTGTGTTCAGGAGAGTCGTTCCTCTGTTATTGATACGTGGAGGGAAGACGTCATATATCAGACAAGTGGGTGTTTCTCCTGCCTCTGCTTCTTCTCTCGCTGTTACTCATGTGGAAGCAGGTTGGTGGCTGCCTGCATCTTTCACACTGATGCTACTTTAATATAATATTTATTAGAACGATGCATCACTCATTTTCACTCACATATTAATATATATATTCACACACACAGGCCTGGTAGTAAATGTTGCTCTTGAAAAAGAGGACAAGTATATTAATGGTCCGAGAGCATAATGTTTCCGTTTGAGTTCTCTTATTCACAATTTCACAAGAAACACATAAATGGCATATATACGTTTGAGGTTGTTAATTATTACATCTACTGAGAAGGCAATGCTTTCACCTCTGTCTGTTTGTTTTGGTTGGTTGGTTCATTGGTTGTCAGGTCTGATCTCGTTGGTTGGTTAAGATTTCTTTGGTTTCCTGGTTGTGGTTGTTTGAGTGGTGCAGATCCAAATAAAAACCTTTCACTACCACCACTGTGCAGCTGAGATAAACCAGATTCAGGGGAAAATTATATGATATGCATATTCACTCGTTCTACACCTATGGCCAAACGGACATGCCTGATTTGGTGCGGAATGGAAGGCGACTGTTGTGCCTTGGCGGAGGTGCCGCTCTACTGAGTGCTAGTTGGCTATTTTTGGATGTGATTGCATCTTACTGCCAATCAGGCTTATCTAATGCATCCTATGTCTGCTTCTCTCTCTCTCTGTCTCTCTGTGTCTCTTTCTCTCTCTCTCTCTCACTCCTGGACCTTTTGTATTATTTATGCCCCGCCCCCTCAGCTGCCCAGAGCTCTCGAGTTTCACCTGTGCAGCCTGATGACAAATTAAGACTCCTTCTATAACCTGCCACAAGGAACTCCTTTAATGCATGACACATACACATACACATATATACGCACACACACACACACACAACCCGGCAACCCATCTGCCCTTCTCTCTTTCTCCCTCACGCACACACACACTCACACACACACTAGCTGTCACAAACTCTGAGGAGGGCAGTGTGAACAGAGCTGTGTTGAGTGAGAGAATGTGTTGTTGTGAGCAACAGAAGACGGAAGGAGGAAGAAGCTGAGTGTGATCGAATACTTTGTCCTGGAGGTTTTTTGTTGTTTTGTTTATTTTTTTTTTAACTGCGGAAGAAGAGACCTCCAACAGGAACACTGCTTATCTGAAGACCCCAGAGATCCTGGCAACCACCACACTTGCCTTTCTGTGCTGTCTGTCATTTAATGTGGAGGTGACTATCACGGAGAACTGTCTTGATGAATGAGCGTGGTGACAGTGCCACAAGAGTTTCCCTTTAACTACAACTCTACAGGAGGAATATTGGACCACGTAGGGGTAGAGCTTGAACTAGAGGAACAGTTGAGTTTCTGTTTGTGTGTTTTTAGTGTTTGTATCACTGGTTTTACCGAAAGCAAGTGCTGCAGGGGTCTTATTGTGCAGAAATTAGTAAAACTAACGCAGCAAAAATCTCTTTTTAAAGTTTACACTGAGCTTAAACATGATAATATGGTGTACGCTTCTCATTTCCAGGCACAGTTTAATGTAAAGGTGTTTTATTAATTATAAACACCTTTAAAATCCAATACCCAGAATCTTCGGTTATGAGAGACATAAATTTACATGTTTTTTGCACATTGATCCAGAGATGAGCAAATTTTGATGTGTATTAATTACTTTTTGGTGGATAACGATCACTGTTAGGTTTCCACATTAATGCATTCACGCTATTTTAAGATGCTCCCTCATTCATTGTCATTGTGTTCTGGAACTTGGCCTTTTTAAAACATTGAATCCTTTCACCTTAAACCTCAGTGCAGTTTGACATCACTAGGTAGAAATATGCATTGTCAGAATCAAAGCTTTATTTCTATATATAAGAGTAAGAAATATGTCAGGGTCGAGATTTCTGTGTAGTGTGCACAAAAGGAAAGATAGAGGATAGAGACTGAACAGTCAAAGAACTCTTAGCGGGGGTCTGAGCTCAAGAGTAGGTGCTGAGTTGAGATATGTGGGTAGGGTATAAAAAAAATTCGAACAGGTTTAAAGGTCCAGTGTGTAGTTTTTAGGTGTATGGAATCTATAGGCAGACATTGAACATTTAACTTCTTATTTATTCTTATTAACTTTTGGATAAAAGTTTCAGTTGATATCAATAATAACCAAATTGACTTAGGACAAATGTCTCCTTATTATTTATTTTAAGTTTACAGACTTTACTTTAAAGGCTGTTGTTTTAGACATTACTATCAAATGTGTTGTACCTCCTTACTGTGCTATTGATATACAGTATATTGAACCTTTACTTTTGGTTAAAAAGTATAATGTGATAATTGTTTATATTGTTTTATTGCCCATCTTCTAAGTATAAATGAAGTGCATAAGACAAATAGTGGTTTTAAAACAGTAGCTTTGACTTGATGATTTCTGCTGATACATTTAAGATCAGTTCCTGAATGGGGTGGTGATATTAAAATATGAGTTGACTTGATTTCATGGTGTATATTCTCATGTGTAGTGTAAACATGTGGCTATGTGTGTTTGGGCTAAAAAGTTTAATGATACTGTGTATGTCTGTGCAGGAGTTTTCATGGGGACCAAATTTAGACAGTGTAGAACTGCTTTGGCCAGGTGGACCTTTCCTCACACTGATACCAGCCCTGCAAACAACTCTGGCACAGAGTATAGCAGGAATATCTAAACCAAGGAATCTTGATAAAGGTCAGACTCTGAAATTATTATTATATTATGTATAATACTACATCATATTTTCTTCATTTTAAAACTCTTACATTGCCTTCATTGCAGTGTACATGTAACATTTTTGTGTCTCTGTTTTTGAAGGCTTACAGCATTGCGTCCAGAAGAGAGGGCATGGTGTGCTTTTAGCCACGTGTCAAAATGCCCGGCAAGAAAGATCCCAAGAAGGACACAAAGAAGGGTGGAAAGCCTGAACCAGAGAAAAAGAAAGAGGAGGAAAAGAAAGGGAAGGATGACAAAAAGGGAGGAAAAGATGATAAGAAAGCCACTAAGGACGATAAGAAAGGTGGAAAGGATGATAAGAAAGGAGGGAAAGATGACAAGAAAGGGGGGAAGAAGGGAAAAGAGGTGCCATCCAAGGGGAAGGATGATGGAAAGAAAGGAAAAGATAAAGGGAAGGGTAAGAAGGAGGAGTCTGAGGAGGAAGAGGATGAGCTCTTGAGTGATGAGGAAGAGGATGAAGAGTTGAGTGAAGAAGAGGATGATGAGGAAGAAGACTCAGAGGATGACAGAAGAGGGAGGGGCAGAGGAGGCAAAGGTGCCAAGGGAAAGAAAGGGGGCAAGTCTAGACGTGGTGACTACTCGGACGAGGATGAAGAGGATGAAGATGAAGATGAGGACGACGAGGATGAAGATGATTACAACAGAAAAAAGAAATCAAAAGATAGAGGAGGGAAATCTGATGCTGATGCGAAAAAGAAGAAAGGCAAAAAGAAAGAGGAAGCTCCGCAGCTTCCAATTAAGGAAATCCCAAAGAAAGGTCTAAAGAACATGTCCAGGATGTTCATGAAGTTTTCTGGTTTCAAGCGGCGCAGGAACAGCAGAAAGAAGCTCAAGAGTACGTCCCGTTTGTTCCTGGGGTTGGGGAAGAGAAGAACCCGACTTGCCAAGAAGAAACGCCGCAAGTCAATGCTGAAGAACACCTCTCGATTCATGATGAGGTTTAAGGCCAGCAAAAAGAGGAAAAAGGAGAAAGAGCAAGCAGCGGCAAATGGTGGGAAGAAGCCAACTTATATGCTGCTTCGCCTGGGCGGAGGGAATAATTCAAATGAGAAGAAGGGGGGCTTCTTTAAAGGCTTATTTAAAAAAAAGGATGGTGACGGGTCTCCTGATGAGTTCAAGAACAGAAGTCTCTTGCTGGGTAAGGTTGCAGCAGCAACTAACTGGCTGACCAAACGTTTCCTGTCAACTAAAATGGGAGGAAATTCAGAGCACCGTGGTTGGGGGGGACGTAGAGCGAATAGCCGACATGCCAGCTCTAGACGATATCCCCATGGTTACCAAAATGATGGTTATGAACATGGGGATGAGGCTTACGGATACAACCAGGGACATTCAATTGGCCAGAAAGGTTATGGGGACTATTATGATGGTTATGGGGGTTATGGAGATGAGGCAGCTGCAGCATACGGAGACCAAGGTCAGATCGGTTACTATGACAATGGGGCAGGGGTAGCAGACCATCAGGACTTGGGTTACTATGAGGAAGATGTTCTTTATGATCCCACTACCGAATATTATGAAGAAGGCCTTTACAATGAGGGCATGGAGGACTACTACAACCCTTATCCCTCTGCCCAAGGCCATTACAACCAGGAAGCTGATCCCTATGGTTACCAGCAACAACAGACAATGGCTATGTATGGTGATGAGGTTGTGGACTATTATGCGCCAATGGGTGATCACATGTATGGAGGAGCAGTAGATGGATTCCTCGACCCTCAGACTCAGGGTTTTTATGATGAAAATGGTCAAGGAGTTTTCTACGATGATGGACAAGGAGACTATTATGACAATGGACATGCAGGTTATTATGAGAACCCCTATACAGCAACTATGGGGATGCAAGGGGGTTTTCAACCAGACCACCAACTTAGCTTTACTGATGCTGGCATGCCCTATCAGGAATACAGCTCTCAACAGGCAATGGGTTTCCCACCAGTAGGCCAGCAGGTCTTCAGAGGACAGGGGATGAATCAGGTGCAGGGCCTGCCCGGGGACCAGTATGCAGACCAGATGGCTCAATATGGGAATGATGTCGGTGGACTTCAGGGAGGGGAGATTGCATTCAGAGTTCCCAGACCTCAAGTGCGCCTTTTTGGTAAAGAGCGTCTGGAAGTGCCCCTGCCCCCTCCCCCTACTTTGCCACCTGATCCGGAATTTGAAGATATGTCAGAAATCCAATATGAAGACCAGATTCCTCTTGCTCCAGGTCAACTCGGTGACATGATGTCATTACGGCCACAAATGGCAATGTCGCCGCAGCAACAAATGATGATGTCTGCTCAAGATCACATGATGATGGCCCCACAGATAATGTCACAGCAGCAACCGATGATGATGCAACAAGAACAGAACATGTCCCCCCAAATGAGATCACAGATGATGTCACCACAGCCACAGATGATGTCACCACAGCCACAGATGATGTCACCACAGCCACAGATGATGTCACCACAGTCACAGATGATGTTACCACAGCAGCAGATGATGCCACAACAAATTATATCCCCACAAGAACAGATGATGTCACAGCAAATGATGTCACCACAAGAACAGATGATGTCACAGCAAATGATGTCACCACAAGAACAGATGATGT